CTGCCACAATTGCTGGGTCAGGAGCATGGGCGTCCGCAGGGGGGGGCAAGGGGGGGCACTTGCCCCCCCCTGGATTTTTCAGCTTTTTCTGATATTTTTCGTGTGAGATTTAAAATGAACTGCAATACCGGCGCCGGCCAGTAGGTGGCGCCGTGTATGGAGAGAGACAGGGATAGGAAGCTGCATCTTATCCCTGCTTCTCTCTGCTGATTGAAACCGCAGGGGAGCAGCACATGCAGCCAGAGACAGCCTACAGATCAGGGGAGTGAGGGATGGGGGAGGCAGAGACAGCCTACAGATCAGGGGAGTGAGGGATGGGGGGCAGAGACAGCCTACAGATCAGGGGAGTGAGGGATGGGGAGGCAGGCACAGATCAGGGAGGAGGATGGGGGCAGTGAGACAGCCCACAGATCAGGGGCAGGGTGGGAGTGGGAGGGGATGGGGCAGAGAGCCAGCCTACAGATCAGGGAGTGAGGGATGGGGGCCAGTGAGACAGTCTACAGATCAGGGAGGAGGGATGAAGGTGAGACAGCCTACAGATCAGGGGAGTGAGGGGATGGGGAAATGAGACAGCCTACAGATCAGGGGACTGAGGGATGGGGGGCAGAGACAGCCTACAGATCAGGGGAGTGAGGGATGGGGGGGAAGAGACAGCCTACAGATCAGGGGAGTGAGGGATGGGGGGGCAGAGACAGCCTACAGATCAGGGGAGAGAGGGATGGGGGAGGCAGAGACAGCCTACAGATCAGGGGAGTCAGAGACAGCCTACAGATCAGGTAAGTGGGGAATGGGGGGCAGCCTACAGATCAGGTAAGTGGGGATGGGGGGCAAACCCACAGACTGTGGTAAAGTGGGGGGAGTGGGTTTGAGAGGGGGAAGCAGCCTATAGATTTGGGGTAGCAGCCTGTAGATTTGGGGCAAAGTAAGCCCATGTAGATTTGGGGAGGGGCAGCAGCCTATAGATTTGAGGGCAGCAGCCAGATTTGGGCAGCAGCCTTAGACGCCTAAAGTGTTGCAGCCCATAGATTTTGGGGGCAGCAGCCCATAGGATTTGGGGGGTAGCAGCCTTTAGATTTGGGGGAGCAGCAGCCTTTTAGATTTGGGGGCAGCAGCCTATAGGATTTGGGGCAGCAGCCCAAGTAGACGGCAGCAGCCCTTAGATTTGTGTAGCAGCCCATAGATTTGTGGGGAGGGTAAGCAAGCCCATAGATTCTGTGCAGCAGCCTACAGGATTTGGGGTAAAGGCAGCCTTAGATCGGGGCAGCAGCCCAGAGATTTGGGAGGGGGCAGCAGCCCATAGATTGGGGGAGGGGGGCAGCAGCCCATAGATATATAGAAATGAACAGGAAGGGTCAGCAAGGAGCTGGAAGGTAAAGCAGCACAAAGGTAAAGTAGAAGGAGCAGAAAGGGTCAGAAATTAGCTGGAAGGGGCAGAAGGAGCACAAAGGTAAAGTAGGAGAATGAGCTGGAAAGGGCAGAAGGAGCACAAAGGTAAAGTAGGAGAATGAGCAGGAAGGGCCTGCAAGGAGCAGGAAGGAGCACAAAGGGACAGCAAGGAGGACAAAGGTAAAGGAGCAGAAAGAATCAGAAGGAGCACAAAGCTAAAGTAGGAGAAAGAGCAGAAAGGGACAGCAAGGAGCACAAAGGTAAAGTAGAAAAGGGAGCAGAAAGGGACAGCAAGGAGCACAAAGGTAAAGTAGAAAAGGGAGCAGAAAGGGACAGCAAGGAGCACAAAGGTAAAGTAGAAAAGGGAGCAGAAAGGGACAGCAAAGAGCACAAAGGTAAAGTAGAAAAGGGAGCAGAAAGGGACAGCAAGGAGCACAAAGGTAAAGTAGAAAAGGGAGCAGAAAGGGACAGCAAGGAGCACAAAGGTAAAGTAGAAAAGGGAGCAGAAAGGGTCTGCAAGGAGCAGAAAGGGATCAGAATGAGAGGAGCAGAAGGGCGCAAAATAAGCAGAAAGTAGCAGAAAGGTAAAAGAGCAGAAGGGGCCAATAATAGAAAAGTGTCAGAATAAAAAAAAAGACTGTCAAATGAAGGAGAGGAAAAGGAGATTGGAGCAGGAAGGACAAATGAAGTGAACCCTCCACTTTATTCTGGACACCACATCATAAGGCTTTAGTACCTGGGCCTGGCAGGGAAACGCTGGACCTTCTCATCTCCAAAGGTAAAAAAATATTGGTGTTAATGTGTTCACTTTTATTTACTGAGTGTCAGGAAGCACAGAGTGCCGTTGGGTAGGGGTGTTGCTGATTGGCTAGAGCGGTCAGCTGGCACTCTAAGCCAATCAGTAGCTCCCCATTCATAAAAAAGTAAAAATATTTTATGAACCGGGAACTAGCGATTGGCTTAGAGCGTCAACTGACCACTCTAGCCAATCAGCGGCACCCATGCCTGACGTCAATCTGCACTTCCTGACACTCTGTTTCAGAAGCCAAATACCACTGAGCGACCTGGAGCTGGAGGAAGCCTTTGTGGTTAAACCATTTGAGAGTGATTTAACCCCTTAAAGGAAAGCGAGCACCCAGGGGCTTCCTGGCATCATAGCATTTTCATTTAGGTGAAGTTGTTATGGTGACCAGAATGGTCCTTTAATTTGCTTAAAGGAACACTATAGTGTCAGGAATACAAACATATATTCCTGACACCATAGTTGTGAAAACGCTATTCACCCTGGCTTTATGTGATAATGGCTATGCCCCTTCCCTTTCATGACACTGTCAAAAAGGTACCAAGCATGGATGTCATTACAATTATGCCCCCCCCTGGAAAAATTCCTGCGGACGCCCATGGTCAGGAGGGCTGTGAACTGGGTCCCCCTATCAGATAGGATCTCCTGGGGAAAACCTACCCGGGAAAATATTTTGACCAGGGCTTCTGCCACGGTCTCCGCCTCTATGTTTGCAAGCGCTACCGCTTCGGGGTACCTAGTGGCGTAGTCCACTACGCTGAGGATGAACTTTTTGCCGGACTGACTGGGGGTGATAGTTGAGAGGTCCCCTTAAGTCCACCGCTACTCGGTGAAATGGTTCTTCTATAATGGGTAACGGGTGGAGTTTGGTTTTCTGGTGGTCACCTCTTTTCCAAATCTTTGACATATGTCACACGTTCTACAATAATATATAAGATCTTGGGAGACCCTAGGCCAGAAGAACGTTTGGGTCAACCGGTCTCTTGTTTTCTTAACCCCCAGATGTCCTGCTAGGGTAATATCATGGCTGAGCTTTAATAACTCAGCCCGAAACTTACGGGGTACTATTAGCTGTCTTTTAGTGACCTGAGTGGCCCCGTCTCCCACCCCTTCTGTCACTCTATACAGTAATCCCTTATGCCACTCAAACCTTTTGTGAGTGCTGTCTCCCCTGGTAGCCTTCCTATACCCTTCTAGAGTAGGGTCTGTTTTCTGCTCCTTTTCAAACCCCTGGGGCGTATCCCAGAAAGTGGAAGGGGGGTCGGGTAAAGGGGGTATTTCAACTCCTACCTGGGTTTACTCAGAGTGCAGCGGTGCTTTCATTCTAGCTTGAGCTCGGGTGCTAACGGGGTAGGCTTCCCGGTAACTTCCTGGTAACTTCCCGGGTTAGTTGCGAAGTTAAACAGCCGATGTCCTTTCCCAACAGGACCTCAGCTGGCAGTTCCTGCATAATGCCGACTGTGACAGATCCATCTGTGTCGTGTGACAGATCCATCTGTGTAGAGACTGGTTGCTGGATTCGTCTGTTTGCCAGTTTTTGCCTTTTCGTGGAATTACCCGTTCGTATACCTCTGTTCAGTGAATTGACTTTTTCCGTCGAATGAAACTACTGAACGGACGGCCACTCAGAAGAGAAGTGTGCTGCTGGTTAACCTATTGATCCCAATTAGAACGTTGTTGTTAACCACATACACTTCTTAATTAAGAACCGAATACCGGGTGGTCGTCGTACGTATGTCGACCACGAGGCGGCGGCGATTTTAAAACATACGAGATACCAGCGGTGTTCGGCATATATTTCATGGAACTCGACATACGAACGACGACCACCCGGTATTCGGTTCTTAATTGAGAAGTGTCTGTGGTTAACCACAAAGTTCTAGCTGGGATCAATAGGTTAACCAGCAGCACACTTCTCTTCTGGGTAGTATCATTCGACAGAGAAAGTCAATTCACTGAACGGAGGCATACGAACGGGTAATTCCACGAAAAGGCAAAAACAGGCAAACAGACGAATCCAGCAACCAGTCTCTACACAGATGGATCTGTCACACCGACCTCCAACTGTTTGGATCCAGAACCCCAATCAATCAGTACATTGGCTGTAGGTAGCTTGTGTATAGCACCCCCAGCCACCCTTATGGCTACGGTGCGACCTGTGCGAGTTGGGGTCTTGATTGTGTGGGGTTGTACTACCGTTAGAGTGGCCCCAGAGTCCATCAGGGCTCGGGCCCCCACACCATTCACTGTAATCCATTGGCGGTGGTGGTCCCGGTTGTCACCCCCAGTTTGTACTGGATTGCCCTCATGCAACACACTCCACTGTTCTTCTTGGTTAGGTGTGTTTTCCTGCTGCACACAATGGGCGGCTGCCCTGGGGTGTTGTGGTGGTTGCCTTTCCCAGCTCCCTCTGTTTAAACAAGGGCACTGGTTCTTGTAATGTCCTGGCTGCTTACAGTAATGACACACTGCAGGAGGTCAAGGAGTTACTGCTGGCCCTTGTGGTGGGTTACTTATGGCAGTTCTAGGGATGGCAGGGGATGCTGGCGCCGGGTAGTTGGGCCTAAACATGGGTCTGCTTCTCCCCTGTTCCCTCCTCTTGTTATCTTGATATTCATCCGCTAGTCTGGCGACTTCCTCCACAGTTTTGGGTTTTCTGTCCTTTACCCAATTTTTGATGTCCTCTGCAGTGTAATTAAAAAATTGTTCTAGCAGCATAAGTTGTAAGTAGAGATGTCGCGAACCGTCCGCGAACTTCTCGCGAACGGTTCGCCGAGGTTCGCCACGAACCGTTCGTGGCGAACTCCGGTCAGCTGACACATCCCAGCCAATCTCCAGCAGACCCTCCCTCCCAGACCCTCCTACTTCCTGGACAGCATCCATGTTGAAGCTGCCTTCAACATGGATGCTGTCCAGGAGGTGGGAGGGTCTGGGAGGGAGGGTCTGCTGGAGATTGGCAGGGATGTGTCAGCTGACCGGAGTTCGCCGTGAACGGATCGTGGCGAACCTTGGCGAACCGTTCGCAAGAAGTTCGCGGACGGATCGCGACATCTCTAGTTGTAAGGCATCATCCAGGGTAGTTGCTTGACAGAAACACAAACAAAGTTTGGGATACGGCTGTATA